GACGCGACCTTAATAGCGGAAATCCCAATCCGTGGAAGGAAATAATGTGGAAATCACTCTGAGTGAAATATGAGTGCGCTGGTTATACTTCAGTAGTAATGACCATGCGCCACATGAACGAGAGATCCAAATATCACTGGATTTCACACAGAGTTGAGCTCACCAGGGTTCCAGGATTGATTGTACCATAATTACCGTAAGGAAGGCTATTGTGACTAATCATGAGAAGTTGTCAAGACTTCTCACAAAGGAAAAGGAAGCAATTATCTATGCTTCCATGATTTCTGTTTCTAGGCTTTCTAAATGGTTTCTTCTGAAACTACCAAAAAAGGGTATTCTGTAAGTTAGTGTATTTCTAAGATAACAACCCCAAGATTAAATTCACACAAAAACACACAAATCACAATGGATAAAAAAGAAAACCTTCACAATCAAACACTTGCATTGCGACACGCATCTTTTTTAGTCTGTTCTTCTCCACATCTGATTTGTTAAAACCCTTGAAGGGTACAGATTAAAATATCTAGTATTCAATTAATATGGCTGCCATCTAACAGCAGTGAGTGTGCAGGTACAGCAGTACATTAAGGTACCAAATTATTCCATCACAAGCCTGTTGGACAGGGGTTGACTGTATTCTTAAATTTCTGTGTTCCACAATACAGAATGTTACATACTGTACTAGCAAAATAATCAATTCAACCTCCCACCTCATTCAATTTCTTCCTGTCTCATGGCCTCTCATATCATTCAAAATTTCTCGATCTTTCATTCCGAGGTCGTCTGATTGTTTCTTGGGTTTCACTGTTTTCTTTTCACGAGTTCACGACTGAGTGACTTTATTCCTCGACATGTCTTGATTTATGTGGAAAGGGAAAAAAAGCGGTCGCATTTGACACATACAAAAACGCCCACACCGTCAAAATTGCGGCATGGACCTCCAATCCCAGCTGAAATGCGTCGATTACTGCTCGACCACTAATGGTTCGAGTTCTCCATCATATTCCGCTAGCCAATATATCCAGCAAGCCACAGCGATTTTTAATATGCCCTCGGGGCATTTTCATTCGACCAGAAAGAAACCAGTTCAAGAAAGGCAACGGCGTGATACAAACAACGAAGAACTTGAAAAATAATAATAACTCGGCTCGAAGCCTTATACGAGCGCGGTGTTGTGTTGGTATGCGTGGGAGTCGATCCCTGAGCTGCCCAAATGTGGCCATGCCGCGAAGAGATTCAAAACATGATTCTTTTCTGAAAATCGTAATTTATTTGACTGCATGCTATAGTAAAAAAAAATTATAATGAAGCAAGTACGAAGGTCGGAACCGCTGGGCTGATTCGATCTGAAATCACCTAGATCTATACGCGTGTAGTACTGTGCATGTGATGCACTGCATTCTTTTAAACCCCGCGATAACCTTTGCACGCATCACCTCGCGAGCCATGGTCAGATGTATTCTTTGTCAAAATTGCTGTGCTTTCGATATCATCGATAATTTAAAGAAACATAAAAGACTTCATTCACAATATAATGAGTCATTATCGGCACGTCAAATGATGTGTCAAAAGGAAGAGGCAAGTTTCTGCATATTTTTTCCAGCTCCACAAATACAATAAAATCTTGTTGAAAAAACTTTTGGGGACTTCAGAAGAGTTGGTTAATCAAATAATTTGTCATAAAACATATATTAAATTGATGACTGAAACAATTTTTCACGCTAGACCTGCCTATAATCAATTACTGTTGATCTTGCTTATCATCGATAATTGTAAAAACATAAAAACTTCATTCACAATACAATGAGATATTATCAGCGAGTCGGATAATGTGTTAAAAGGAAGATATGCTATAGAGTATGTTTCTGAATATTTTTGCCAGCTCCACAAATGCAATAAAATCTTGTTGAAAAAACTTTTGAGGTCTTCAGAAGAGTTGGTTAATAAAAAAAAAATTGTCATAAAAACATTTTTTAAATTGATGCCTGGAACAATTTTTCATGCCAGACCTGTCTATAATACATTAGATCTTGCTTTTTGGTATTCTCAGATTTTTTATTGATTGAAAAACTGAGCAATCCAAATACAGTAACTATCTTCCATCATGAATTTCATCAGTTGCACCAATCTCTTCATTCTGCAAGGGAGGATGATGTGGAAAATCTCTTTATTCTGGAAGTTCCTTATAATTCAATTTTTTTAACATGTAGTGTATGCTAACTGATGAGTACGGTCTTTGTTTCATCAGGACTCCAGAAAAAGTTTTTTATGCAGTCAACCTTCTCTAAGTCAAATGCTGTACAAAAAAGCAACTTGGGAAGGTTTTGAAATATGGAAACAAGCATTTTGTTGTTGTGGGAAATGCGAAAGAATTGCAGGAAATTGTAAATGGTGCTATTCTGGGCCTTGAATCACTTCTTAAATGAGTTGGCAGGATGCGGAACTTTAAAGTAGGGGTTCATTTGCCCAATTAGTCTCTCACTTCCTTTCAAAACTAATCACGCTCATTTTTATTGCTTTTCTCTTTCCTGTGACAGAAAATGATACCAAAAAGTCCTCAAAAATTTGAATTGGGGAGGTTTGAGAGGAAAAGCCTTCAAGTTAGAGATGTTTTTAATGCATTGTTTATAAGGGAATTCAGATGGTGATCGACTTGAAAAATATTTGACTTGGGGATGCATCCAACTTTGGGAGGTTTGAGTTTTCAAGGTTCAACAGCCCTGAAAAAATCATTTAAATGAGATTTTACTGCAATCAATTGGACCATAAATGATCTCCTTTGTTTCAGAAAGTGGATCAATTTTGTTTGAAGTAGCCTCTATTTGGATTTGCTGTTTATGCAAATGAAGGGGAACTGCTTCCTTGTTTCCTTCTTTGAAATACAAAAACTTGGTTTTGAGTCATTTTTTGCACTAAAAAATGAAAATTTTGTTTGCTGGGCTCTTTTATTGACCGCCAAGGGAATTTCAATGTTTTTCTTCGTCACTGTGCATGGTGACATACTTAAGGTGATTAAAGTTTCACAAAGCACAGCAAGTAGAGAGAAACATACGGAGAATCTGGCCCATTAATTCCTGGGTTGTTCCCAGAATCAATTGTGGAATAAAAAAGGGTTGCCGGTGTGTCCGCCCACTCGACTGTTGAGGTGCCCACGCTCAGCCCCGCACAACTTCTTCCTGGATTCGGTGCGTACTTCGCGGTCCATCTTTCCCACACACACACACACACGGACACTAAACAAAATAAATAAACAAAATAAATAAATCACCGAGGACAAGGAACAAGGAACGTTTTCGAGATGTTGATTCCGGATAACACTTCTGGTTGGAAGCGCCTTTTTTCGAGGTAACATTCGGAAGGGAAGAAACAAATGCTGTTCTTGTCGGTGCCTAATTGCCAATCAAGGCGGTACAAAACTGAGTGCATTACGTTTTCTGATAATCCCTGTGACAAGTAACAACAAGGAACTTTCTCCTTTTTTTCTGCGCGTTTTTCTCTTCTTTTTGTTTCTACTGGAAATGGCATTATTGTAACCAAGGACGGATTATAGTAAAGTGGGTTATTCAAGCTGAGCTTCATCATGGATTATATGTAGTTCGGATCCGCCTTCATATGGAAAACCCATTACAGTACACTCATACGAAGAAGAGACCAACCTGTTGATGAAGAAAACGTGAGCTTATATTCATGTCCTGGATTAGTAAGCATTTAAAAATGAGTACTGGTCATGTGCAGAGAAGTCATCATGCAGTAATGTAAAGAAAGTTCTTAAATTCAGTTTATATAAAATGATACCGTATCAAGAAACACAACAAAAACCAGGACTTCAACTCTCAAAGGATTCAGAAGTACTTTAGAATGTTTAATTTATCAAAGAATGGATTTATTAAATACGTTTTGCAGAATGTGCTACAGGGAATAAGAATACATCATTAACTTTGTGGAATGGGAAATTTTAAAAGAAGAAAAATATTTCTCGTGTTTTTAAGCTAATTGGTCATGTGGTAAGTGGGTGAAATTAAGTGGGAAGGGTACCTAATTTTCCAAAGCAGTGTTTGCCAACCTTGTTGGTCCCATCCATAATCTTTTTTGCCGACTGGCAAAGTTTCATGAAATTTCCAGTGCGTGGATTAGCAAATTTTCACAAAATTGTTTCATGTTAAAAAAAGTTTTATCTGGAAAGTTGCTGCTTTTTTTTAATTGATTCAAGAATCAATGTTGCAGCTATATAGTGGAATGTCTCCAAAAATGGAAAGGTGGGCTTAAAGAAAGGTTTATTCAGGCTTTAAAAAAATAAAATAATTTTTTAAATCGGGTAACAATATGTCTGAAGTATTATTATTATAGCAGAAAGGCCAAGATACATTTTTCATTAGATAATTTTAACTGCCATTATTTTCTTGCTAAAACTTAATATACAGATACAGTTATGTCTTTTGTTCCTACTTTAAAAAAAATTCATTGGCCTGAAAAAATTTCCAAGGGTTGGGGAACACTGGTCCGTTCTAAAGTACCGGGTGCCATGGCATATAACACATTTTTTATTTACCTATAAATTTGCGTGAAAAGTTATCCACACAAAAACCACACCCCACTTTTCAGTTAAAAATTGTTTACATTTTCAAATCACAGAAAATACCTTTTTTATTTATAATTTAGAATAAGAAGAAATTGATTTCACTTATTCATTATTATTCTTATTCATGATTTGCATTTTTTCATATCTAATGGTATCCAAGAATGAGCCTTGCTTGAATTTTGAAAATCAAAATAAAACGTTATTCTTCAACGAGTGGCGCAGTATACGTTTTAGCCGAAATTATTGGGGAAAAAGATTCGCCGGGTATACTTGGGTAAATACAGTAATATGCTGTAATCAAAATGGCCCGTTCCAACTGTACATCAGTCAAAATCTCACATGCTTTTTTTTTTCTAGATTTTTATCCAAATACAATAAATGAATTACCACTTCGACATGTCTAACAAAATGAAGTGCGAGAACCTGAACTCAATCTTGAGTGTACAGTACCAAGAACCCATTTAGTATTTTTTGGTTCTATATCAGTACAAGTGAAAAAGTGGCCAGTACAAGAAGTCTGCATGTTGACGCATGAGTAGCGCATAACTTATTCTATCTAAAAGCGGAAGCAAGATTTTACATTTCAACACCCAGGTTCAAAACAGATTTTCTGCAATGAATGAGTGCAACTATGGAACTTCAAACAGCTGTGGAGCATCTTGAACCCTGTTCTCAAGAAAATCGAGAAAATTGGTCTAAAAAAATAGACAAGGGGGGGGGGTAAATTGAACAAAAGTAGGAACAAGGCTAAATATTTCTTCTTAGAAATTAGACATTAACTCATTAGAACTCTATTGCAGCCCGGAAAATTGTACATCTCTTTTTCAAATTTTGTTTTGCATCCAGTCAACCTCTGTCTAATGGACCTCCTGCCTAAGAGATTTTCACTTAACAGACTGCCTCTGGAGGCAGTTTTGTCTCCCACTTGAAAATATTATGTGCACAACAGACTTCTGTTGGTTTGAAATTAATGGTATAAAGTGCAACATTTTATTTTTTAATAATGAAATTTGCATTACAGACTTTTTACATAACCCAGTAGTCTGTTGCACAAATCAAGTCTGTTGTGCAGGGGTTGACTGTATAGTCTTTCCATAGAATAAAAACTAAATAAAAGCATTTTCATTTCTAAACCAAATTTGCCACTCAGAAACCAGTTGTCAACTTTATGCATTGCAATTTTATGGCTTCAATTGTTTTGCATTTGTTTACTGCAAAAATTGCAATGAAGTAATTTAAGAATGTTGTTAATTTGCAAATTGCATTGAGGATTTAATTTCTTGAACCTTTCTTTTTTGCTTGTTGCAACCTTGTCAAGATATTTTAAATTCAAAGATGCCATCACAGCAATGTTTTTGAATACAGGTGGACTCACTGTATACAACTATCTTGTCTACTGCAATATTCTCTCAATAACAATTTTTCCCCAGTTCCATAGGGGGCATAGGGTTCTGGGGTTACAAGGGTTCTCTACAACAGTGTTCCCAACCTGTGGTCCATGGACTGGCAATGGTCTGCTGAAGTTTTTGCCAGTAAGCCCAAAGTTTCTCCAGGTAATGAATTTTTCACAATTAGCAATTGAAGGAAATTAAAGTACCTTTATTTCTAATTTTGGCAAGACAATGGCAGTTAAAATTATCTCATGAAAAATTTATCTTGGCTTTTCTCCTAATAATACTTCAGACAGATGTTTACCCAATTTAATAAATTATTTTAATTTTTGAGTCTGAAAAACCTTTCTTTAAGACCACCCTTCCATTTTTTTTTGAAGACATTCCACTATAGCTGCTTCATTGGATCCTGAATTAATTTTGCAAAAAAAAAGCAGAAGCTTTTTGAATACCTGCCATTCAAGCAGTCTTTCAAGCAACACTTTTTTGAGCATGAAAAAAATGTTATGAAAAATTTCTTTTTCTCAGTAAATTTCATGAAACTTTCCCAGTCTGCAGAAATGTTTTTGTGGAAATTTGCCAGTCCACAGGACCCCAAAAAAAGTTTGGGAA